GAGAGAGAGGGAGAGAGAGAGAGAGAGAGCTACGACAACGATGTCCCCCTCCCCCACGTACACTATCGTTGTAGACGTACACCCCCCCAAAAGAAGCGGGTGTTCTATTCGGGTGAAGACGGTGGCCTTGAGCTTGAGGAACCTGATGAACAGCCTCAGATATCCCGATGGTGACAAGGCAAGAGCGCATTCGCTACTGTGGAACGAGAGAAGGTTAAGAACAGTCGTATTTTTCATCACCACTTCAGGACACCCTTCACCACTTCAGGATGCAGCCTGCCTAAACAGGTGGTTTTCAGGGTCTTCGGACCTTTCACCACTTCAGGACCATTCAGGTCTGAAAATCCTGTTTTGAAATATCTGCCAACAAAAACCAAATGCCTGTTTTGAAAAGCCGGCCAGGTAATAATGACCACAAGTCCACTAAAGCTTGATGCCTCACATGGCCATCCTCTATTAGGTTAAGGTAAAACTCAGGCTTAATCCCCAGCCCACTATGTGAAGAAAAAAGTGGTGCCGAGGTCAGACCGCTGCCAGAAATACTGTTGCAGTTTGAACCACCAGTACCTGGGGGACCCTCCGTTTTCCCCCAAACTGGTGACCACAAACTGCGCAGGGCATTCCCGTCCACGGTTCCCAGAGACTTCTTTGATTCCAAGCCTCGTTAGAGTCGTTACGCTTTGTGGGTCTGGTGTGGAGGTAGTGGTATTTTAAACAGGATCTGTTTGTGCAGTCATTCAGGAGACACTCACACAGAAAACCAATGCAGAAAAAAAGGTCCGGTTGACCAGATCATAAACGGGATCAGGTCCCATCTGCCATGCCATAAACAAAGCACGCCAGAGGACAACAAAAAAAAAAAAGAAGCCAAGCCGGGAAAACACGAAAACTGCACCATGAAAACATCCTGTATACTTGAAAGGGATCATAACTCGTGATGGCGCACACAAAAAAAAAAGAAGAAAAAAGCCATCCTGTATACTTGAAAGATCATAACTCGTGATGGCGCACACAATAAAAAAAAAGGAAAAAAAAGAAGAAAAAAGCAACTCCTTCACTCCAGGAAGCAAACAGAGGGACTTGAGGCTGCCAACCTGCAATGCAATGAGCTCCTTCTCTTCCTTCAGGAGATTTGTCCGCTCTACATCTGCGGAAAGGACACACTCCAAGGCCGTGGCATCATCCCCTGTCACCTGCACACAGCGGACATATGACACTATTAGCGATTGTCAGCAAACTTCCACACAGCCATCATGTCATCAAAAGTTCTTCGAAAACTCTCCGTCAAAAATTGCCATAACGGTCTTGCCAAGTTTTCGGTTCCATTTTTGTCTAATCCCACAGAACAGCCGTGAACCTTGCACAACTTTGTGCCACAGAATTCTTGTCTCATGCGACAGGCAGTGGTCTTCCTCGCAGTTTTTCGCAGGTTCAACACCAGCCCTGATCCCACACACACATGAAGTGACTAAGGGCATATTCAGACTACAGAATTTCCTTTCTCAGAGGTTCGGCGCCAGGATTCATTCAAAACTCCCACTGCTAGTATGCACTACGTTTACATCGGACTGCACTAAGTTCACATTTTGGTCCTTCAGGCGAGACCTGGAAGAGAAACTGAAGGCGGGACAGAGACAGCACGAAGACATGGAGAGAACAAATAAAAAAAAAGAGCGAGAGAGACAGCACAAGGAGGAGACGGAGAGAACAAATGAAGAGAGAGCATGACAGTGTGATACCATCCCTTGCTACATCGGACTACATTATCTTGGTCATTCAGAAGAGACCTGGACTCTATTACACGTGCATAGAGGAGATGACGTGAAAAATGAAGGGGAGAGAGAGACAGGACAACGAGGAGACGAAGAGAACAAATAAAAAGAGAGAGAGAGACAGCACAAGGAGGAGACGGGAGAAAAAAGACAGGATGACGGGAGAAAAAAGACAGGATGACAGAGTGATACCATCCCTTGCTGCTCCAATACTCTCTCATCCTTTCATGTACGACCTCGACAAGTCCAAAAGCTAGACGGGCATTGGATAAACGGCAGTCAACAAACCTCCTGTTCCACATGGAGGATCTGGCAGGTTTTCGGGATTCCTGGAATAGCATGCATGGCCATGTGTTTCAGGAACGTGGTTTTCCCAGTCCCATTTCTTCCGACGAGACCTGCAAAAATGCCGAACATCATTTGCTGAGGTAAGAAAAACTTATTTTGTTTTCTAATCAGCCTTCTTGGCAACAAACAGACAATTTTGTTTCCCATTTCATTTCTTGGCAATCAAGAATGCCTGAGAATGGCTTGAAAGGCCCAACCCAGGGTGTGAACAACCATATGCATGGTCAGATTATCTCCCCCACAGCCAGCATGGCACGACCAGTTATTCATGGTATAATCAAACACAATAGCATAGCCACGGAATTTGGGAAACCGCAGGCGACCAGTTATTCCTGCAGACGAGACATTAAACACTCATGCGGTTGACACTCAGCCACACGAACCACAAAAAAAAAACGCTATTTGAAAATAGTCCCCATGGCACCTTATGTAAATTTAAAGTACATAAAAAAGGCAGATTTTCAAACATGCAAAATAGACTCTGTTTTGAAAATGTGGTACGTCAAGATTTGTTATTAAAACTTCATCACACAACAGCCTGGCAGCTGCCTCGATTATGTAAAATCATAGTAGTTCCTTTCAGTTTTGGGAAAAAAAATGTGTTTGACACTCGTGCGTTTAACACAGGCTCACAGACAGAAAGATGCAATCCTTGGACGGTTTTGAAAGGATTACAGACAGAAAGTTGCACTTCCATTCTCTCCAGTGAAAAATGTACTCTTCATCCATCCAAAAAGGATGTGTACTGTTGACGTGCTGATCCATAATCAAATGTGCACAGCGTCAAAGACACAACTCTTTCGAGTGACATGAGAAGAGGAGAACAGATCATATGCACACGTAGGGCAAAAATTGTTGTTTATATATTTAAAAAATCTTAGCAAAAGACACAGAGACACATGGACCAGACAAAAGCCGTGCAATCTGAGAAGAAGAGGAACGAGACCTGGCCGGCGTGCATCCGGCGCAATCAAGAAAACTGGCGACTTTCGCTTCCGTCTGAAGATTCAGGGGAACAAAGGAAATGGAGAGGAGGAGAATAGCATTACCATATCGCCTTCCAAAAGCAAGGGTAACAGTGGCTTCCGAGATCAGTTCCTTTCCGGCAACCGAAATACTGAAATTGTCCATATGAATATCCCTTGCACCTGAGCTTCCTAGATCCCCACCGTGCGCAACCATAACCACAGGCATCCCGGCCATTGCCTCCCGTGCTGCTGCCATATGAGCATGGTATTGTGCCTGCTCCATAAACCAATATACATTGTCACACAACTGTGCAAGAGGAGTGCATTTGCAAAATGAAGCAATGTAAAAGGAGAGAAAAAGAAAAGGGAAAAACAAGCAGAGCACAAAGAGCAGAAGAAATATCGACAGACAAGAAGAGGAAGCACACCTGCCTTCTCTTCTTCTCAATAAGGAGTTGAGCCCCTAATGTTACTGTGTCTATCGCAGCCCGAACTGCTTAGCAGTTGCTCAACAGTAACATGCGTGTAACATTCAGCCACAGGACTGGCTGGCACCACCCCTAGTTCGTGTTTGTTTTCTGTTTCTTCGACATCTTTCACTGTTTTAGTTTTCACAAGTCGGAAAGGTCCATGTTTGCGTGGTTGAGCTGCATGAGTGCACCCTCACAAATGTCTGGTTACAAGAAGCACACTTAACACTGCCAAGAATATGATAAGACAATACGCATGGGTGAGGAGAAGAGCACCTACATGAGCGTGCAGGAAAGACACTGATGTTGCGGGCAATAAAATGGTGACCATAAGAGCATCCTCTCTCTCTCTCTCTCTCTCTGATGATGATGTTGCAGGCAATAAAATGGTGACCATAAGATCATTGTTACATGCTGCGCCTGCACACGAGGGCCATTTTCCAGGCCCTGCGTCGTTCAGGCTTGAAGCCTGAATTTCAGGCTCAAGGCCTGGAAATAAGGGCCTACAGACCCCAGGACGGTTCAGCCCAAAAGTCGGACATCCGGGGCCCACAGGACCTGCATCGTTTCAGCCAAAAAAAAGGCCTGAGCCTTTTCAGCCTGAAACTGAGGGCTATTCCCGGGCCTGCAGACCCCATGACGGTTCAGTTCAAAAGCCTGACATCCGGGGACCACAGGCCCTGCATCGTTTCAGCCTAAAAAAGGCTTGAGTCTTTCCAGCCTGAAACTGAGGGCTATTTCCGGGCCTACTGGCCCCATGACGGTTCAACCCAAAAGCCTGACATTCGGGGCCCACAGGCCCTGCATCGTTTCAGCTTAAAAAAAGGCCTGAGCCTTTTTAGCCTGAAACTGAGGGCTATTCTCGGGCCCTCGTCAGACCGACCTGCCCTGAAACAAGCACAGTCGGGCATGGGCAGGAGTGACCTGCCCAGAAGCTTCCTCAGGGGCTAGCACGTCCAGGCATTGGCAGGAGTGACCAGCCCTGAAGCTTCCTCAGGGGCTAGCACGTGCAGGCATTGGCAAGAGCAGCCTCCTAGATGGGCCAGCACTATATAAGACTGGCCCGCCCTACAGGTTGACAGAGACGAGAGGAGACTGCCCAGGCACTCGATGTGCACTTCTGCAGGAGGCAGTAGTCTTCAGGATTCGGCTGTAATAGTAGAGTAGTGTTAGCAGTAGTCTTCAGCGCTGGGCGCTAGTAGCAGTAGGCTAGAGTAGTGGAAAGAGGAGGCTGGCGGAGGCCAGTGATACTTACCTGTGGCGCCATAGCTCCAGCTTCTTCTTCAAGGTACCTGCAGCAGGACACCACCTTCAGGGTGACTTACCTGTGGCGCCATAGCTCCAGCTCGTCATCGAGGTACCTGCAGCACAGCGTCACCATCACAGGTTAGTACCTGGCTCCGGAGAGAGAGAGAGAGACTCACTGTCTGACTTCACTGCTTCGGCAGACTACGAGAGTGAGAGTGGTTACTTGCAGAGGTTACAGGCAGGGATTGTCACGGGCATTGGGCCCAGGATCTGGTTCGACATTTTTGGGCAGACGTTGGTTGGACTTCGGCCAGGGACTTTTCTGAACTCCGCTATTGCGATCTCAGTCTTCTCCCTTGCCTCCATCTTCGTCCTTCCCTCCCCCTCCATCTCTCATCCGTGGTATCTCCCCATGTGTGTATGCAGGAGGGACCTTCGTCTATGCATGCGGTCCCTCCTCTCCCTCTCACATGTGCGATGTATGATGGGATGACGTAACAGTCCAGGTCAGGTCAGGACTTATCTCGAAGTCTTCCGCTGTGCTATCAAATGCCATTTTCATGTATCGGGATGTACATTGTCTGTTGATGTTTCACTAACAGTACATTGTCCATTCAGTCCTTTTCATCACATTGCGGATCCTTGGCTGAATACATAGCCCAACTTGGCATGTAACAAGCATCCTCTCTCTCTCTCTCTCTCTCTCTCTCTCTCTCTCTCTCTCTCTCTCTCTCTCTCTCTGATGATGATGATGTTGCAGGCAATAAAATGGTGACCATAAGAGCATCCTCTCTCTCTCTCTCTCTCTCTCTCTCTCTCTCTCTCTCTCTCTCTCTCTCTCTCTGATG